AGTTTATCCCTTTCCCCCCCCCTAAATTGGCAAGTTTTACTTTAAATCTAGGTTTAAATCTTTTAAGCTTATTTTATCCTTGGGAAAAAAAGTATCTACACTTATTTCAATGTGCTTTCCTAAAAATCTTTCAGTGAGATTACAGCAGTTTTTCCTAATCTACACATTTAGGTGTTAATATGTATTCTTGTGATGAACATGGTGCTTTATGTTCACATCTCTTTGAAGGCAAGCTCTAGAAAATTATATAGCTGCACAAGCAGTAGACATTTTTACAAACCTTATGTCTGAAAATTGGTATTCCCATCAAAATACCACATTGAGATATGATATGGGATTTTTATAACATTTAATCAGATAGTTTGGCTCATGTAGTCAGGAGTTTAGCTTATGAATTGCTTCAGAAACAAATATGTAAACCAGATACACATAATTCCCATTTCACAGGTGGAAATAGTGAGGCGTGGTCCCAACGCGACCCACCTCCTGGCAGTCACATTAAATAGCCACGTGCTCAAAATTTTTGGACAATCAGACAACAAGGGGTTCATCAAAGATTGGGACGACAGACATGGAAAATGAAATACACTCTTTTTACTCCAGCTGTAGTGTCAGCAGGCAGACAGACAGCCTGTACTTGAATTTTGCTCTTCTCCAATTATTCACCAAGGGAAAAAACTGTTTGCAGAAGCACAGGGCAGGAATCAAAAAATAAAGACTAATAATAAGAAATAGTTCTAGGGGCATATCAGGACTTTGGTAAAATTACATTCTGGTATTTTAGGACATTCTAATTTCTATAATAAATTAAAGATTAGACCACATGTATGCTTGAATTCAGGAAACATACTTTTCCCTACTAGCTCAACATCTGCTAATTTGGTAATACCTGCTCTGAAAGAACTATAAATGAACCTAGCAGACTTTTGCTCTTTTAAGCCTGTGACACTTCTGCATACCTTTCCATAATTTTAACTTCTGTTTTAAATCACTAGGAAGAGGCATTTTTTGCCTAATATGCTAGGGTCAATTTTAGTAGTAATAAGTACAATCAGATGCAGTAAGAAGTTTTCTATTTAACTTACATATCATCAGTATGTTTTATGGCTTTTGCTACAGGTGTAGCAGCTGCATATTTTTATGTCACTTTTTAATAAAAACTTCCTCTACAGTATGAGAAAACTATTTTCTCTTTCAAAGAGCCAAAATGCAAGTTTCTAGAGGTTTAGTAAATAGAATTACTTTCCAACATACAGAAACATAAGTTTTGTTAACATCTAGTTCAAGACTTCACATAATAAACAAACTCCTATTCTTTTCCTCCCCCTTTTTAAATAATCATGAGGAAAAAACACACAAGAAAGCAAAACTTTTATTTTTTCATCATTAAGATAACCTGAATGATAGTACCATATTTTTACTTTTGGAAATACTATTCATATTTTGTAACAATAAAAAGCTAGTAATGATATACTAACAAAATAAAACTGCTTTGAAGAAATAACATAATACATAGTCAACTGAAACAGCTTCTAAGCAATAAATTCCCATAAAACATTTAAAAAGATTATCTTGGTAGCATTGACTTAATGAATGCTCAAAATGCAAGCTCAAATCTACCCTGCAAAGCAATCATGGTTTTTTAGCAACTATTTTGACCTCAGTGACACAAACAATTAATTCTACAAACTTAATATAAAAATAAAATTCTACATCTAATGCAGAATAATCTGTCAATGTATTTAATCAAGGATATGCTTTTTTTTCCATGTATTATACATTCTAGTATCTAACACTGATTTTAATATACAAGGGAAAAAATGAAAATGAAAAGCTCAGAAGTGTCTGAATGTACACATACAAAAAAGAAAGCTCACCGTCAGCCAAAAAAGGCAGAAGACACAAGTCTGGGCAGATTACAGTTTGCATCATATTTTTAAAATAAAATTATACACTCACTTTAGCAATATTTATAAATCTATAAATATCAACAGCAAGGTAAGAAGTTGCTTACATCCTAGTCATACATCTTCAAAGCCGACCTGATGACTTGTGACAGCACCCAACCCATTTATCACCGAGTATATATTACAATATATTATAGAATACTGTCATTCGCTCTTGATACACGGATGGGGAATAACTCCCTGATTTAAGTCAAACTTCTCATTTCTATATAAAGACCACAACAACATAGTTCATCAAGAAAATAACAGGAGTGTCCAAACTTCACACAGTTGCCTACAAGAACATAATAAAGTCTGTTTTATCTTATTTACCTTCTATAAATCCATACATAAATAACTTAAAAAAATTAATTGAGCCTAGTTGGTCTTCTGTATAGCCTAAAATTTCTCTCACTTAACTTTCCCCAGTAAATATTCATGCCACAGTAAAAACTTATTTTATGATTTTACTTGGCTGATAAATGATTCTTAAGCATTAGCATACCTTTACGTAGCTGCCTAGTTGAAGGAAATTATTAAAACCAGCAATCATTTACTTACTTCCTTTAGAAAAAGCTATAAAAAACTTGATTTTTTTATTTGAAGACTCCCAGTAAAATGATTCAGAGAAGCCAAATCCAGAATGTTAAACTATGAGATGAGTACATATTGCACACACTTAAACAATAAAAAATCTTAACAATAATAATTGCTGGGGTTTCCTCTGTTTTTCTGTTGTGTCAAAGTTTCCAGACAAGTGTCACATATTAAAAACATCATTTTAGAGAATTACTACAGTGACAATAATAAAAGCAACCATCATTTTCCTCTTAATTCGTATTTCAAAAGGCATCTGTTAAAAAACGGGGGGAGGGGGGGGAAAGAAACAGAAAAAGGAAGAAGAAAAGCAAAAGCAGCACAAAGCTATTCCCGTTATCTGAAGGACATCCTACTGTATGTTTACTAGTGTTTATGTTTCACATCAACATATTTTATAGAAGGATTCATATGCCTAACTCAAGCTGTATTTAAATCCTATGGTGCAGACCCTACCATAAAACGCCTCTTGAGTCCTATTAACTGTACCCATGGTTTTACTTTGCCTGTCTGCTTATTTAAGATCTAATCACAATTTTGAAGAAAAGATTGTCACTTCTAAGCCTGTCCCCTCAGAACCTGTCTGTTATTAGTACTCAACTGGATATTTTCATCTTCAGTTGTAATTCTCTGTGGTCTTTGCAAATGCTATCTACTGGAATCTCTGGCTGTATGGACAAATTGGCTACACATGCCTAGGACTGCTACTTTGAGAAACATGTAAGTGGCACATTATTCTATTAGCATTTTTGTGTTTTAAAGTACTTCACTTAAATTTAGTTTCCTAAACATATTCACCAATTTGATACACTCTTTCTCAACAAAGATTTTAAAATTCTGTTATAATCTGAACACCTGAATAAAGATGATGGCATTATTTTTAATGAAAACAATATCAAATTTTTATATTTATTTATATGTATACGATTTTATATGAAAATAGTATAAAAATACAAGGTATATATATATATATATAATCATGTATATAGAGAGAGGTAGAAACCTGCTAAGAACATAATGAAGACACTGAAATCTGTATTTCTTCAGACTGGCATACTGTAAGTGCTCAATTGCTAAAACAGAATATACATGAATTTGAAGCAAGGCACAGATTTAAGCCTTAACAACTTCTCATATTTCAATCTGTAACTATTTCCTTCTTCCACATTTTCTGTCACTATTTAAAATATTTAACTGTAAATTTAGCTAGTGTACACTGCTTAATTCAGCACTAAAAATTGTTCAATTTTAAGAGCTATTATGACCTGCTATTTCAGAGGCCCATGCACATGCAATGTATCTATCATGTTAAAACATGTTTCTATAAAACAGCATTTTTATAATAGTTTACCTAAGAGAAAACAACTTTCCTTCCATTAATGTAATACCTGATGTTGAAAAGAAAAACCTCAGCAATTAAAATTAAGGGTTTGAATACCAAAGGTGCTGAGTGGGCTCAGCAAATGAAAGAATGAGGCAGCAAAGACTTTCAGGAGTTTGAAGCAGGTACAGGGCACTCTGCAGAATCAGACCCCGATTGTTTACCAAACAATTTGGGCTTCACTGCATTAGTACTGTGTTCCCTGATGGTGAGGCAGCTCCTTAGGCAGAAAAAGTAGGAGTTTTGTTTGTTCAGGTTTTAAAAGGAAGAGAAATCTTACAGTGACAAAAAATTAATGGATTGCATCTTGTAATTAGGTGGTGTCAGCAGCCAGAGTATGGTTGAATTTTACGGTTTTAAACACAACAGTAGTTTCTCCATTAACTTGTTGGGAACACAAAGAGACAAATTTTAAAAATATCATTTTAAAATGTGAAGGGAAACAAACCTGAAGAAAAGCTGCTTCTTCTCTTTTCCCATGTTTTCAAAATTACACATCCATATTACAACTCACACACGCGCAAGCACACACAGACAGGAACACTGTCTTTTTTATTTAAGTGCTTTTGAACTAACCGGCATTTTTTAATTACACCTGTGACAGCAAAGTGTCTTTATTGAGAAAAGTCACTCTGGTTCCTTCACTAGGGTCCCTTCGCTGCCCAGCTCCGACTTTGGCACAATTCATCGCAAGCAAAGCAAAGTCTCAAGTAATGTGGCCCTCTGGTGGAAAAGCCCGCACCACGTCCTGCCCGCCCGAATCGCACAGTAAACTAACAGCTCCTGAAAACATGCACTGCAAGGCTTCGGCACAACTTTCATAAATACGCAGCGGGATTTTAATCACCAGGCAAGCGTGGTGGCATGCAGCCATATCAGCAAGATGTTGCTGCCACAAGAACGGGATCCTTCCCTTTCAGCATTATCGTGCACTACAACAACAACAAATAATGCCCCATGCCCTTCGCTTCCACGACACTCCACATTCAGCACACACCAAGGGTCTGCAAAAAGGTCCCCCTCTGAAAACAGCCCTTCATTTGTTTAAAAACAAACAGGAAACAAAACAAACTTACCTGCTGTTGTTGCAGATGCAGCAGTTCTACTGTGCTTACTTCAGTGCTCGTGTCACCACTTGATCTTCCATCTCTGCTGCCAGCATCTAATTGGCTGCTTAGAGTGCTCATTCCATTTTGATTCATTGAACTGTTGCTTATTGTCTCTGTCGCAGATTCCTGCATCATGACTTAATACCTAAAAGTGATTAAGAAGTATCAATTAACACACGCGTTACACCTTCACACTTCCATTATCAAGATGTCCCTCTCTGCCAATTACACAGACAGCATCTTTAGAAGAAGAAAAAAGCCTCGCAGAGCCGTTTACCAAGAAATGCAATGCAAACTCTGCTTTCATACAGCTGCTAATCACTGGAATTATGATTTCTATAAGCAAGCTTTGTGTGCTTACATTTAACGGCCAAAATAACACACCATGCACGCAGCATGGTCAATAGCATTTATGAACGACTACGTTTTAAAGTCTACCTATAAAACCAGTTTAAGTGAAGGCACGATTTCACACACTGCTCTATATTTCCTATTATCTAGCTTTGACAACCATGGATGACTATACAGCCTTATTTAAAATATTCACTATCTTGATTCTGTCAGAATTTTACAGCATATCTTATGCAAGGCTGTTGTTTAATGATGCACAGCTAATCATACAAAATTAAAATTTTGTAAGGGTGTTACAAATCATATGGTATCAACCAATGATAAATAGTATAATGGGCTTCTCCTTTTTTGTGACTAAATAAAATTTTGCCTCGGAGGCATTTTAAGAAAAAGCTCCTGCTGCAAACACGTCAGATATTGCCTATTTTTTTAATCAAACGCCTGATATTCATTTATTTTTCTGACATTTAAAACATTTAATACTGTCCTTCCTGGGAAGTAATTAAGCTTATGCATGAGCAGCAATCAAACTGTTCACTTGAAGATGACTTAAAACTCAATTTTAACATAGGCAAATAAATGAAAGATATAAAATTAATTTTCCAGGCATGTATTAGATATGAAAGCTGGAAATAAAATCTATCAAGAATATCACTAATGATTGTGCTAAAAACAGCATAAATTATGCATATTACCTTCTCTACAGTAATAAATGTTTTATCATTTTCACTGCATAAATATACTGTACTTTCAGGATAGCAATGAGATGTCCTGCCAAGATCAGTTGAAATCTTTGCAGTAAATAAAGAACCAACGTGCCCTTACAAACCAGAATTTCAAGGCGCATTTTGTATCTGTAATATGGAAAGGTCAGCGTCTCTTCTCAGAGCCACCAAAGTCCTCTCCTGCTCTTGCAGGGTCAGAATGCAGCTCCCTTCCTTCATCCTCACTCCCGACCTACTGACAAGAGCCCTCACAACAACCTGGCTGAGCTGTGATTTTAAAAATCACCTCTGAAGGGAGAGGGATGTGTAAGCAAACTGGGGAAAGGAAACAAAGCTTGCTGTTTAGCTTAATGATTTAACTTAGCTATTTTCTCCCTTGCAAAGTATGTGCAACTGCCTTTCCTTTAAAAAAAAAAAAAAAGGCAGGAAAAGGATCATTACAACTTCAACTATCTGCACGGGATATTAATTAAAATGCAGTATGAGTTACCACAAACAAGCTCCTATGAGATAAAGTAAAAGTATATATTGTGTGAAAAATGTTAAAATAGCAAAAGATGAGTTATTTAAGGATGGTCTGGTCAGAAATAAACAGGATGCAAAAAGCCTAAACACAAACAGTTAACATAAAGGAGAGCAGCTGTTATAGCCCAGTAAACAACAGCAGCACCAGATGTGTTTATGAAGAAACAGTCCTCCTAAAACACTTATGAACATCAGCAAAGAAAAATAATAGAAATGGAAAATGTGATACAAGCAGTGATGAATTTTACAAGGCAAAAACAAAGCTAATACTCTTTTCTGAGATTAGGCAGCTAATAAGTATTCAAATTAGGCATAAATTTTACATGTACAATGTTTAAAATATTCAGAGAAAAGGGTCTGATTGCCCTTAGTAGTTATATGAAAATTCTAATGCGGATATGCCACAACAGTGGAAGCAGACAGCCCGTTCCGATTTTTACAATATTTACTTTCAATAAAAGGACGTGTATATCAGAGTGGAAATTTATTTGAAACTTCATCAGCTGTATCGTTACAAGGATTTGGAAATTTGGGAAATTCAAACGTTAATCCTCTTTCAGTGAAACAAAGATTTAACCAACAGACAGGTTCATCTTTTACAAATTCAAACATTAGACAATAACAGTGGTACATTTAGCCAGGCACATTAAAAGGGCAAAGGGGGGTAAATGTTAGATAACCAAAACATTACAAAACACCCAGAAATGTAATAAATAAATACACCATCCCTCCTATTTTTACATCTCTCTGACTGTTTCATTACAATTAAAAAAGAAGGGTTAAATGTCTTCCAGTTCATATTAACCAAAGGGTTTTATATCTTGTGGATTTTGTATCCTCACAAAGCCCCAGAGTGTAGTTCAGGCTCTACATTTAAAGTTAAAGTGCCTGTGAGCCAGCAGAATAGGCTTTAATATAACATGACCAGTAACACTAGTCTGGCAATAGAAAACAACAAACCCGATCCAACAGCTGGGTACAGACAGAATGAAACTACAGAGTAACAATACTAGAAAGGGCAATTTATTTGGAAGTGAAGTGGAAGAAACACTGAAGTATTTCTATGAAGATAAAAGAGACCGTATAATTTTATGTTAAAAATAAAGTGTGGGGGGTGATTCTCTAGTTTTAAAATGATATTTTTAAGAACACTAAAACTTTGGCTAGAGTAATGCACTGTGCTGATTGTCCTCAGCCCCCTCCTCACCGTCAGCAACTGAAAAAGGGCTGCTAGAGAAAGCAAGAGCATAGAATCTTTTTCCCTTTTCTTTTGCATAGACGTACATATATACGTGAGTCTACACACGTGTGTATGTACTATCAAAAATTTAATCCTCTAAATCCTCACAAATTGAAGCACTGAAAACATCTAAACAAGGATGATTTCTAATGTCTATGTATCAGTATCAGCTATTGGTAGCAAAATAATTTGAACCTGCAGCATCTCACTGAGCAAACTAATGTACTTTTTTTCTTGTTTTTACAAGAGCAGTGCAGATTGTTACCAAAATAAGCATAAATAAACACAAAGGAAACAGACAGGTATCAGCCAGATACTAAGGCTGTAAGTTTGGAAATTCAAATAGGACAAGAAAAAATATACAGGTCCCTGTTTACATACATTTATACACATTCATACTTTCTAATCCTTCTCTTTTCTCTTGCTGTCACACTCGCTGTCAGTCATGAGCATGCCTACACAGGCACACATGCACACACGCACCCACATTCACAGACACATTCACCAGCACCTACTTCTGTCGTGATTCTGCAACTCTTGGCGCCAAAGGTGCGATACAAGCTTTGCTACCCGATATTTTAAATAAAGGTATGGGGAAAATATTTTCTGCTGTCTGCAAGACAGACTGAAATTGTAGATAATTTTAGAGTGTGGTTGCACTGCAGGTTGAATACCTAATCCCGTCAGGGTAGCCAAGCTACCACCCATACCAAAAAAAGAACTACTCCACCTTGTTGAGTTAGAAGCTCAGCTTTACTTTTCTCCCCTGCAGAACTGGACGTTTTCTATGCGCCCGTGCGCCCGCACGTGCACGCGTGTGTGTTCTAAGCCGGCAAGTCACTGTACAGATACTTATTCTCTACACCACTTCCCTTTTGAAACATTAAACTGACACTGGAACTGACTGCACAAGATTGCATTTTCTCTTCCTAAACAACTTGAATTGAAAGGTTACTTAGTGTAACAATATTTACTTGCAGAATTGTGTTGTTACCAGGGGTATAATGGATGGTGGCTATGCAGGTTTACGCAAGAATGAGTGAAGCATGAGGCATTAGCCATGTGTTTGACATGTTTCAAATTGCTATAATCCAGCATTAAACACACCCAGCAATTCATGCCATTTCTTGCAGCCATAATCTTGAATAAAGCGTGCACAACCACTTATTATATAAATTAGTATATGACTCCCTGTTATAGTCACAACAGTGCTTTTGTGTTTATTTTGCATCAAGACGGGGTCTTTTATTTGCACAAATAGCAGGATAACGCACGGTGCCGCAATTAAACCTCCTCGGTTTATGACAGGGTGTGTGCCATACCCGGCTGGCAGGGTCTGCGGTGCCCGGGCGCCGCGGGTTCGGCCCAGGCCCGGCGCGAAGGGCCCGGCCCGGGCTCGGCCCGGGGCAGCCGCGCGCGGGGAGCCCCTCAGGGCGGGCCCGGGCCCGGCGCGGTGACCGGAGCCGCTGCCGGGCCCGCTCGGAGCACACACACCGCCGCTGCCTCGCCTCCCTCCGTCAGACACAGCCCAGCCTGCGGCCTTTTGAAACCGGACTGTGATGTAAAAGCAGAGGTGAGGAGCTGGGCTTAAATAATAGTAACTTCTGTGCTCTGCTGGAATTAATTCATCATTGACACAAGGCACAATGCATCTGAAGCCTTGCGCTGGTGAACGCTAAAAGCCTTTAATACTTAAGATTGCTTAATAAATCAAAATGCCAAATATTAAGGACATAGCTGAATGTATGAGAACAAAAAAATTTGGAAAGCTAAGAGAACATTTGTAAAGATGTTTTGGTTTTTTATTTTTTTTATTTTATCCAAAACAGCTTTAAAAGCTTGAGTTAAGCAGAGACAAGTCACTGCATAATTTTAAAATATATACCTGAGTTAATATGCTTAAAACACTATTAGGTCAAACACCATTGTAATACTGTAAAATAAGTAACTGTAGTAGTAAGTGTAAAATAAAGTAACTATATCATTTGTTTAATACACTACTGTCTGCTCAAATAAGTTTTCCCGGTAAAAATGTGAAATATGCCCAAACACCTTGTGCTGTAAGTTCCTTCAGAAAAACAGAGCTTCCAGTCCTACATTACAGGACATAGAATAATCAGAAAAAACACATATCATCTGCATCAGTGATCAAAATCAGCATCTTTCATGAGAAAAAATATAATTTTCATGTCATCTATTCAAAGTGATATAATCATTTTAGTATTTGCAATATTCTCACTAATGAAGATGGTAGTTGTGAGTAAAGTAAAAAGTTCAAAAATGGATAAAATAGGCAGCAGTGTG